TTACAAACCACCATATGAACTATAAGGGTTTGCAATGTGCCCCCTAAACCAGATATAAAAGTGGTTTTGACTGAAAAAGTTGTTTGGTCACCATATGTGCCCCTAAATACTTCTACAAACCACCATATGAACTATCACGTGTTTGTCAATGTGCCCCCTAGACCACTTTTATATCCGACTTAGGGGGCATATTGACAAACCAGTATAGTTCATATGGTGGTTTGTAAAAAAAAAAAAAAATAGTTTATATGGTGATGCGCCAAAACCGTAATAGTTCGGATGGGAAAAAATATTTTACCCCAATAATAATTGTAATAGTATGTACTATGTTAACAGAGGTTGTAGAACCGCCATGTAACATGTAATTAAAAATAAAATGAATATAAGGCTAATGCCACTATGAAAATAAGAAAAGAGAACACTTATAGGGCTGATACCACCCCAAAAAGTAGTTAAATTAAAAGTATGAACAAGAACATAAACATATATGAACCTTGTATTAATAATCGATGTTTAATATAATAATCACTCAAGGCCTTCAAAACTTTGAGCAATGTTTTGGATATACAATACTAACATTATGCTAGCAATGCATAAGGAATTTGAAATAGTTTGTGAATTTGGAAATTTGAAGAAAGAAAAGAAAGCTTTGCAAGCTTAACGATTTTGAATGCTCTAGGCATTTAAAGAGTGAAGAGAGGAGAAGAGCTTAGGAGAGGAGTTTCAACTGAGAATGAGAGTTGAGAGTGGTGTGGTGTGTTAAAATTGTGTATGGTGTAGTATGGGGTGGTATTTATAGATGAGTCTAAAGACATGGTGGGGTTGGTGAGGTTTGTTTTCGTATTTTTCTTTGTTCCATAATTTTTATTTTTTATTTTTTTTTTATTTTTATTTTTTGTTTATTTCGATTTTTCATTTTTTACTTTTTTAAGTTTATTTACCCTTTTCCATTTCTTTTCTTGGTTTTTCTTTGTTTTATTTTATTTTTCTCTTTTTTTTTTTCTTTTTTTAGCTATTATGTAGTGCACTGTTTGAATAATGGATTTTCGGATATTTTTATTTTATCGGTGTTATTATTTTATGTCTCGATTAACTGCTTATATTATAATATTGATAGAATAATATGATATTATTAATTCGTTGATTTTATGCTATCGTCGTTCGTCGATTCCGGTTTAATCGAATAAATCGAAATTATATCCGTTTTTAATTATTTTAGCGAATAATCGAACCCGGGGCTTGAATCATTTTTATTGCTGACCCTTTTGAGTGGCCTTCGGCCTGAACCCGCGAGAAGGACTGGCCCGAGCCTTAGGTGCGCCTCTCTTTCTTTCTTTCTTTCTTTCTTTCTTTCTCTCTCTCTCTCTCTCTCTCTCTCTCTCTCTCTCTCTCTCTCTCTCTCTCTCTCTCTCTCTCTCTCTCTCTATTTCTTTCTCTTGTGCCTTGGATGGCAAGTTTTATTCTTTCCCTAGATGTATATATATGTACCCTCACCTCTCCTATCTTCTTCTATTTCACGTCACCCTCTCCCTTCACGCAAAAGATCAGAAAACTCTTCCCCCACCTCTCAAAAGTTGATTGCTACCTCCCTTGAACTCATCTCGGCCATCATAGAGCCCGTCGGCGACCCCCTCTTTCCCCGCGCACGCATCGTGCGACCTCCCCACGAGCAGCGATCGACCGCCTGCCTTCAACCTCGATCTCCCGCGACGTTCACTCCTCCGCACGATCGAGTCCAGGCCGTTGGTCGACCCCCTCACCACCATTCAGGCCCGTTTTACTGTCCCTGTTCACCGCTGCACCACGGAGACCGAGTGCACCCCCACGACGCGAGTTGAGTGCAGCCGTCGAGCCATGCACGCGCACCTTTGCCCCGTTCAGTCTCCCCTCATACACTTTGTGTGTTTTCCTTTGGTGAACGGTAAATCGATGGCAGAGGGCAACATTAATGCGTTATTGAAAGCACAATTTGACCCCCTGTTAATGGATGCGCCACATCCATGTTAACGCCAGGGGCATTTCTGAAAATAACTAAGCAATGCGGATGTTCTAACAATAAACTAGGGTAAATTAGACAAAAAAAGCGGAATGTAAAATATACTATTTTTTTTCTTTTAGTAATCATCATTCATCATTTTATTATTTTTATAATTAATTACAACAAAATATATTGTATTTCCATCTAGTAATCAATCCAATTATTCTATTCCAGAATTATATTTTATTTTTGAAAAATTTTATTTATCATACGTGATTATTAAGATATTGCATATATACCATCCAAATAAAATTTATTGTGTGTGTACCTAAAAGATAACATTTAACTAAATTAATGCCTAAATTCAGTTACTATTTCTTGATAACCTCGACCACCTTCTCTTCCATGTGATTTACGTTCGTTTCCATAAAAAAATTGTAAAGGAAAAAGAAAAAAAAATCTTGCAGATATTATGGAATAAATATAATACACAATTTGAATTTAAGAATCATCATAACTCAGAAAAAAACAGGAGATATCGAACAAATTTATGCTAAAGAACACGTAACACAAAAATATACCCGAAAAAAAAACGAGAAAGATCGCAACAAATTGATGTATATTACCTAGAGATATTTTGTCGATCCTTCAAGTATTTCAACCTAATATTATATCTTCCTTTCTTTTCTTTTTTAAATGATCATTGAAACGTACATGATTTAATGGTATATGTATCATTTTTTCATATGGAGTCAAACTTGATAATTTTAATACATCACGGGGGTATATATATTGAAAATATATTGTATGTAAATGCAACATATACTCAACAAATAACCATTGCAACTACAATGAACTATATGTTGCTTTTTATATTCAATAATGCTTTTCAGCTCTAAGATTTTTTGAATGTGCAATATATATTGCGTTTATAGTTAGTATATATTCAGTATATCTTTCAATAATCTCCTATCTACCAAAATAAAAAAATAAAATAAAATAAAATAAAACAAATTGTTCCTTGTCAAATTCTTCTTCAAAAAATAAAAAATAAAAAAATAAATCCCAATATACCAAACAACTATGAATAAACATCAAATAACCATTGAAAAAAAAAACCAAACATCCATTCACAAAAAAGTACTGAACCAATATATACTGAAAGGAGCTGAAGCTCATCACTGAGATTGTGTCGGCGGGGAGTATATACTGAAAATATACTGTATGGCAACACAACATATACTATTAACATTGTAACGAGTCAGAGCTTCAGCCTAGCCTTCATCATCTCCAACTTGACCTCCCCGCTGGGAAGGAGGAGGAGAGGGACGCGTAGTCGTTTAACGAACTTGACCTCCCCCCTGGGAAGGAGGAGGGGAGGGACGCATCGTCATTTGCCGTTGGGAATGAAGGCGGCGTCGAGGCACCGGGCCGCAATAAAAAATCGGGCCTCAAGTTCATGTGGCACTCTCTGTGGTTGACGAGGTAGACCTCGATAACGGCCCGATCGTCGATCAGCGTGGAGGCGCCGAAGAAGGTGCTGCGGACATGGGTCAGCCGCTGGCCTCACCGTCTCCGCAACTCTTCATCGTATCAGCTCGGTCACCGGCCTCACCTTTCATTCTCTGCACACTAGCTCTCTCTCTCACCTTTCTCTCTCGTATCCCCACCGGTGCCAGTTGGAGATTTTTTTCCCAACAAATTGTGCATTATTTTTGTTTTCGCCATTGAAGAATACCTGCTAGGATTTAGCGTGTATGAAAGATGATTGACAAGTAATGAGCGAGGACACAATCTGTGGGTGGATTAATTCCTTATATTAGGGATCAATTATAAATATTATCCATCCCTTATAATTAACAATCTAAATGTGTAAATAAGTAGGGTGAATTTAGTTATTTGCAAATGTAAATATTTATTAAGTATATAAATGTGATATAAAATATATTGATTGATATGTAGTCCAAATTACACTTCATTTTTAGAGATTACGGCCCAAAGACGTCGTATAAAGCTTGTCCGGGTAGTGAAACGTAGGCCCAGTTCAATAAGCATAGTCCGAGCCGTCGCAATTAACAAAGGAATATGAGAGATGGAGGGAGAGAGAGACTGACTGAGCGAGAGAACATAGAAATATATAGAATGCCCAGAAAATAAAAGGAAAAAGGGTAAACCAACCCAGAAGAGAGAGAGAGAGAAAAAAAAAAAAAAAA